TTAAGAGGGTGTAGGTAATGCAGCTAGCCTACATGTAGAGAGATATGGAACACTAGGAAGGTCTAAAAACTTGTATTAGGTGTCATCTATACATCATGCCAGCTATACTCCATTATATACAAATTGTTTATACAAAGTTAAAAGTATAAAAATTATATTTTATTGTTTTATTTGTTAATATATGAAAAGAAGTAAAATGGTATTATTTTTATTGGTAAGCATTTATTTAAAATATACATTTTGTTTTTTTTCTTCCATTAAACTATTAATAACAAAAATAATTATATATTATTCAATATATAATTGCAAATAAGGTTATATTGGTCATTATATTTTTGGTAAGCACTTACCAAAAACATTTGGTAAACATTCTTACTCGGGACAACACTTACTGGGATAGCACTTACCCGGGTCAGCACTCTTACCCGGACAGCACTTACCCGATAAGATTTGGTAAACAGCCCCTAACGTAAAATAATCAAAACTTACCATAATTCAATATTTAAGAATACTAAAATCTCATGATATTAAATCAGTATCTTCACATATTTTTTTTATATGTAGATTTAAAATCTCATGATGTTTCAACTTACTTTAATTTTCAAAAGGCATATACATATTTGTTAATTAGAATATCTATATTATATTATAAAGCATTTCGTAAAAACTCTTAAAAACTATTTTTTATGTATTAAGTACTGTTTATTGATACAAATTATTTAAAACTCAAAATTACAAGTAAAATGTGTGTATGTATAGCTTATTAAAGCTCCATATTTGAATTCGTGTAACTAACTGCAGATAAACTTAATCAAATACTGAATAGGTATCTCATTTTAAATATAAAAATTCTAAAATATATTTAGGATAGTCATTTAATTCTAACAAAATATTAATTATTATATTTATAAAAAAAATTATATTATTAAACCAAAATTAAATGACTTCATTATTAAATATAAATTAAATTATAATAAAAAAACTGAATTAAAAAAATTACACAAAAGAAAACAAACACTTTTAAATATTTAATTGATACTAAAATCGATACATTTTTTTATCAAAATTTTATAATACCCTCAAATTTATATTTTATTCAAAAATTAAAAACATTATCGTTTTTCCAGTACCACATAAAATCATATTATAATATCGACGGATAAAAAATAAAACAAAACATTAAAATCGAGATGTATCTCACTGCATTTCGTAAGTACCCTTGTCGTAATTTACAAGAGTGTTGTTATTTGAAGTCATTTAATTTTGAAACGCATCTACTTATGTATCCCTTTTCTGATGTATCATTTACTTTGGGATTTAACCAAAACCCATAACAATTTAATAGGGGTGGGCTAAATGCACTCCTATGTATTGCTTAATGCACCCATATCCATGAATTTCTTCTTCACACACATCAACATCAATACATGTTTTTTACATTCTCAATGCTTGAATGACCTGATTCTGACATCAAAGGGGGTGTCATTAGCACTCCCCATTCAATATCTAACTAAAAATGTCACATCACTACCTCAACATCTTACTTTTATAAAAATATAGACATAGATATAGATTGAATCATTGAATGGTCATTTACATTAAAAGCCATATTTTTGTCGATATTAATAATTGAAATGTCATTGATGCATTCAGAAAATAAAAACTCATATGTGTTCCAATTATATAAATTAGTTACATACATTTTTTTTGACAGATCACTTCATTAAAGGAAGAATCATGCGAGAAGTTAAATATTTTACGAGAAGAGAAAAAAGTTAATCATATATGATCAAGCGTTTATGTGTTGTCAATGCAACATGTGTTCAATCATATGATTAAGCTTGTGCATTACACATGTAATCATATATGATATTGAAACTTTTCGTTTTTTCGAAAACATTTAATTTCTCGTTCGAACCTACCCCACTTGACCAATATAATATTTCTATATATTTGTTTTATTTATTTTAGTAATCTATTTAAATAATCACATTTAAAATTAAAACCACTACCCTAATAGCTTCCCCTTTAGAACCCTACTTTTGTACATCCCATCAAACTTCTATGAGAAGTACAAAATTAAAAAGCAGGCAACGAAAAGGAAACAAGAGCGGTTTTCATTTGATCGCTCCTCTATTAATTAATTAATATATATATATATATATATTAATAGAGTAGCGATCAAATGAAAATCGCTCTTATTTGTGTAAACCATGTAAACCAATCTCATTTATCCATTTGTTTGATCAATGGTCAAGATTAGTTTAGGTTATATTAGGAAATTAAAAAAATAAAAAATTATTTTATAATCCCAAAAAGGGCAAAATGGTAACTTTGATAGTGGTGATATTAATGTCAACCATATCATGTATATTGTAATACTAATGAAACAAAATCATTTGTAAAATAATATATTAATTTTATGTTCAAATATTATTAAAAAAATAACATTCATCATTAAAATAGATCAATAATAAAAGTAAAACACATTATAATCAATTTAACATAATGAAATCTTTTGAATAATAATAATAATAATTTACTACTACATTTCATTAACGAAATGGTTTCACAGTTTCATCAATACACAAATCAACATAATGTTAGATGAGACATTTGTCATTTTCAAGTTTCCGGTAGATGAATCTGTTTCAATCTAATATGAAATGGTTTCACTATTTGCTAATTAAACATGTTCTTAACAATTATGAAATGGTATCTCTGTCGTTATGCATCCATTTCATCGACAAAGTTTTTGCAATCCGAACACGTTTCATAGTTTCATCAATACACAAATCAACGTAATGCTAGATGAGACATTTATCATTTTCATGTTAGTAGTAGATGGATCTGTTTCAATCTAATTATGAAATGGTTTCACTGTTCGCTAATTACACAACATTTTCTTAACAATTATGAAATGGTTTTACTTTCTTAAAAATGAAACAATTTCATCTATAATTGTTGTTAAGCAAACAAGATTATCCAATTTCTTCATGCAACCATTTCATCAGCCAATTTCTTCCAATACGAACACGTTTCAGAGTCAATGCATTTACCATTACATGCTTTGTTAACCATTAAGTAAACAAAATCATCCAAAAAAATAAAACAAAATGAAACAATTTCATCAAATATTATTGATAAGAAAACAAGATTATGCAAGAATATTATATTACGCAACCAGTTCATCCCCAAAAGTTTCATAAAACAAGTTCCTCAATGAACGTTTTCACGAACCAATTTGCATACGTTTCTTAAAACAAGCTCCTCAATGAACGTTTTCACGAACCAATCTGCATACGTTTCATAAAACAAGCTCCTCAATGAACGTTTTCATGAATAAATCTAATATGAATCTATTTTACAGCTGATTATATTTTTATCGGTTCATGAATATTTGTTTGGATCTGTTACTGATTTTGTGGATTAATAAATATAATAATTTTCGATTTTCATATTATTACCACTAATAAACCGAGAAACCAAATAACAATATTCAATATTTAAAATTATAATTTAAATAAACATTTAAATATTAGCATTTATAATTTTATTATGTTACCTTAATTAAGATTTATTAATAACTTCCATATTTAATAGAAAACAATGTAAATGACAAATCTATCCTTAATGATTAAATTTAATTAAGAAAAAAAAAAGAATTTTCCTATTGGTCAAAATTAGTTTACACGGTTTTTAAGAATTAGACGGTTTTCATTTGATCCCGCCTCTATATATATATGCACACGCGCACACACACACACACACACACATATATATATATATATATATATATGTGTGTGTGTGTGTGTATTTATTATTTATTTCAACTAAAGCGGTAATTCATAATTTCATATTTCCTAACTAGGTTTATGATCTAAAATTGTTATTTTTTGGATGTTAATATGTAATATTTTGGATGTCAAGTCAAAATACAATTACTCAATATGATTTTATATTACTCAATATCCTTTGGTACATGTGACTTCAAGTTTTTCTGGATTAAATTGATTTTTTTTTTGTTTTAGGTTATAGTTTTTTTGTATTAAATTAAATTCATTTTTGGTTTTAGGTTTATTGAAAATATTTGAGATTTAATCATTTATAATATCTCACATTTTTAATTTAAAATAACTTACATAAACGGAAGAAAAAAAAATCCTCATAACCCCATAGGGGTTCCCCGTTCCTGTTTGGGATGGGGATGTAATTATATTCCCTGACGGGGACGGGGATTGAGGTCTCTACCCCATTCCCATGCCTAATGACTTTAAGATCATTTGTGATCGTTCAAGGTAGGGATGGGGCGGGATGGGATGGGATGGGGACCCGATCCCTGATATTTGCCTTCGTCCCCGTCCTCGTCCCCATCCCCACTGAGGAATTTGATCACATCCCCGTCCCCAACGGGGAAATGGGGATTTTTTTTCATGTTTGTATAAAAAAAATTAAATCAAATGTGTGAGACGCTACACATGTTTAAATATCACATTTTTCCAATAAATCAAAAGGAATTTAATTTAATACAAAAAATATACATCATTATATAGTAATTAACAATGGAAAACAAAAATAAATAAACTTAATCTAAAAAAATTAACGTCACATGTACCAAAACATATTGAGTAATATCCAAAACCACGTATAGTAATATCCAAAATATATTGAAATAGAAATTACCATTTATCGATTTAATAGAAACAAATAATATATAATATAATTTATTAATTAATATATATACGGGTACGGGGCGGGACGGGGAGTGTGATACCCGTCCTCATCCCCTGTTTGAGCCAAACGGGGATCCCCGTCCCCGAGACCCGGTTTAACGGGGAATCCCCGTCCTCGACCGGGGTGGGTGGACCGGGTTCCCCGACAAGTCGGGGCCAATTTCCATGCCTAGCTCAAGGGATTAATTAATGCACCTAAGCTGGACCAGAAATCCCCGGTTACCCGGAAAAATAAAAAAAGAAACAATCTTCATGTAAAAAGGGTTTCCATCTCCCCAAAAGGGAGCATACTTGCCTCTAACTGAACAAGCAAAATGATATCAGCCAAGAGAATACACCATTCGCGCAGACACATCCATACCCATAACTCTCAAGTGTCTATGCAACTGACTTTCCAAATATTGCCTTTCTTTTGCTCCTAAAGCTTATTGTATATCCTTAAAACAAACAAAAATAATCATATACCGGAATTTTGAAAGATCATTCAAGAACATCTTTTACAAATTCCAGCCCACAAAAGCTGTAGACGGAGATGTAACAACCAATCCCACATGCGTAGAACAGTAGATTTAGTTCCACCATGGTTTTAAATTGGATTAAAAGTTACTGATCCAGCATATTGCTTTGTGCTTGGGGCGTAACAGAGATGAAGAGAAATGTCGATCACCTAGCACCAATTTTTCACTCAATCATTGTGGCAGTCCCTCGAGTCTCTCCCTTGATCACTAATACACAAATTTGCTAATTATAGTAAGGCTTCAACTTTATATGTCATCTTATTAAATTAAACCTTATTAGCACGTGATTTCACCGGTTTCGGTAGAAGAGCTTAAATGTTACCAAGTTATTTTAGGGTTTATGGAATTACTTTGGCAAACACACAAAGGTTACCGGTTAAAGAAACCTCAAAAAATATGGTTTTTGCCGGTCTAACCAAAATCACCAAAATGCCCCCCAACTTAACGCCCATTAGAGGCAGGGGTGAATGGTGTAAGCAAATTGAAACGATGGGGGGTCTGGTGTAATTTCAAAACTGCAGTGACAACTGGTGGTGTTTGAGCAAACCACAGGGACGGTTGGTGTACTTTTCCTCTTTGATTTTTTAACTAATGCCCTATAATGACGTAACCAATATGCAGGAGCAGGAAGAATGAAAATGTTAACTGTGGTAGAAGGGTCCCTTGTATCTTTATGCATTCCGTTCAAACCAATAACGTCGTTACTGATATCTTCTTTTCTTGTTTCTGTGGGGGCCGTGGTTTCTGGTTCAGATCCATCATCTGAATGTTCAAAATCAATTTCAGACATTTCTTCATCATCATCAATAGGAATGTCATTTGATTCTTCTGGGCAAGGTTCGTCTTCTTGTCCCATATTCTCTTCAAATGCATGTGACGAAGGCTCCTCATTTTGCAAGGTGGCAAAGTCAGATAGTACCACATACGGTTTTCTATCAAGTAGCCTCTTTGCAATATCATATGGAACCCACCTGCACGCACAAGATATATACTTCATTGAAGAAATCGAGAATCCATCTTGGATCTATTTGTAACCTTCGAGCTAAATATAACTCAGCATACACAGTCCTATAACACGGGCATATTCAGGGACGGACCCAAAAAAAATTCAAATGGTAGTATCATTTGACTTATAAGAAAAAACTATAGAGAAAAAATTTCAAATAGTGGCATCGTTTGACTATAAGAAAAAAATATACGGAATTTTTTTCAATCGGTGACACTATTTGACTAAGAAAATGATACTAACAAGATTCGAACTTGGGTTGGGGTGGAATAAAAGTCTTGCAAACCAACTCTACCAAATAAAACTTGTTCTCATTGTAGTTTCAAAATACATACGGTGACACACAACAAATTAATACAGTTACACCTTTCACGAACCTAAATTTTTTACCCTTCAACGGAGGAATAATACGGTGGAACGTGCCACCGTAATCACCATGGTAGGTCCGTCCATGGGCATATTCACGAGTTACGTTTGGCTATGTTTTTGGCAAATTATAAGCTAGATGTTGACAGATAAACTAACTATAAAATTAACAGATAAGCTAGAGGATATGACCTAAAAGAAATAAAGGATACGTTGACAAATTAATTGGAAATATGGGGCATAATTAAAAAAAATGAAGAAAATCCCGCGAGCTTATTGGTTAACCAGACTGGGCTTTTTCAATAAGCTAAAAAATAAGCTAGCTTAGATTGCCAAACATGACAGTTGGGTTATAGCAGATTTTAGAGACAACGAAATTTTCCTACTATAGTTGCATATCTTTTTCTTTTGGAAAAAATAGTTGCATATCTTTTTCTTTTGGAAAAAATAGTTGCATATCTTTCTTAAGACATAAACAATAACTTACTGGTAACGAAGAGGACAGAGAAGCTCAGATGGACGGTATGCTGCTTTGTATCTCATCTTGTTGCAGGAGTGAATATAGTAGCCAAGATAATAATACTGTAGGCTAGGACAATGGCCTTCATTCTCTAACACCCAATTTATTTCTTGTAGTGCCGAGTACTTACCAAGCGACAAAAAGGCAAGATCCGGATCCCAAAACAAATATTTACTCGACAAACATCTCGGGAGAATATCTATAACACCAACAGCAACTAGCTTGCCATTGATCAAATATTGTTGATGGAAAGAACCAAATCCGCAAGGAGGAGAGGTGCTATCTCGGCTTGATGGTACAAAGACTAATGGACTGTCCACCAGGAATCGCTTGTAAGAACTTTCGGTCACATGATTTGGTGCATCATTATGCACTTGGATCTGGTATCTCTTATACAATGCATATTCTTCTGGATCAAAACTGGACTTTTTCATACGGATTTCAAGGTTTGGTCCTTTAGCCTGGAATTTTCCAGCAAAGTCTAAAGAACAGCTTTTGTTACCATTGCCTGTGGATGAGTCTTTAGAAATTGAAGCCTTTCCAACTACTACATCTGGCTGAGCTTGTATTTCCGTAGAATAGAAATTTATGTGTCCATTGCAGGCTTTTATGGAGAAACCAAAAGCTGGCACTAAATTACTTAAATGACTTGACAGCTCATCAGCAATAAATTTCGGGTTAGGATCTCGGCACCTATTGCTTTTTTCTGTGCAATTGTCGGTTGATTTTGACAAATCGGCATCCTTATTGGCTCGTCTTAGAGCAGCAGCAATCTGAAAAGAAATGTTGCTGGAATACAAAAGATCTTCTGATCCTTCAGCTAGTAACTTCCTTGTGGCTGGTGCAACACTTTTGACGGACGCTTTAGGATATTGAATATCAGGAGGAAACTTACCTTGCTTTATGCATGTATGTACAACAGAATCAATCTGGTCAGACAAACGGCGGGTCACTTGCTCAAGGATGTTCTTCTGTACTCCATTATCTGCCAAGAAGTTTCTATGTACTGAACTTCTGCATTCACTGTTGGAAAGATTGCATGGACCGGTTGATGAAAAAATCTCAACAAGTTCACAAGGTTTTTTTACATTCAGTGTACCATCTATAAACCTGCAATTCAGTTAACCAGTGTATATCAGCATATGCTATTGAAGTTCCAAAAAAGTGTATACTATAGGAGTTTCTCATAGCTTAACAAATCTATTTGAAGTTAACATTAGAAACCAGGGACACATGAAGACACCTTTGCATCCGTTTAGCTACTCGGACTTGCTCTTTGGAAGGAACAAAATCACTCGCCTTCAAACGTATTGTGTAAGATGGACAACATGTTTTTTCCATCTCAGGTTTGTAAAGTAAGCAGCCAGCTCTCCTCCAACCTTTGTCAAGAAAGCCTATCAAAATAATAGAGATGTTCCAAAATAAGGCTGTGCATAAATTTTCTTTGTAAATAAAAAAACCAAGAGTTTTTAATGTTAACCATTCTTATAACTCTAGTCTGCCTACCACAAAAAAAAAGGTTGCTTTGTAACAACTTCCATCAAAAGTTGATGGTAAATTAACATGTGTAAATTTCTCAAAATCTTCATATCGAAATCCCAAATGGATAATTAGGAACTGGGTGACATAACTGATGAGGACGACATGAATGGATTGAATGCAAACCAAAAAGTTTACCATTAGGAAGTTTTCTATTACTTCCTCTGTCCCATGAAAATGCTATACAGTCGATTTAATCCGATTAATGTTTTCCCAATTAAATACTTTAAATTGGGACAAACAATACTTCATTTGACAGAGGGAGTGATAATTGGAGATGTTCTGTAGAAAGATCAACAAGAACTTAAACTAGATAAGCTGCTAAAGTTGCATGCCAAAAGTGATTGGTGCAATTTTCATTTGACAGAAGGATCATAATTGGAGATGTTCTGCAGACACGGAAGGATCTGTGATTTCTCACCACCATAGCTTTAAACACAGGTAATCAACTTCAAAGTCCATTGTGTTTCCAGTAATGTGACATAAATCAAGCTATTGCATCAACCTCAAAGAAAACTGTAATACAAAATGCATTTAACCATACAAAATTCTGATATTCCTCACAGAGTACAGGCCTTAAGGAGTACAATCTAGCAATCAACTATGACAGGCAGTTGGTATGCAATGACAAGAGAAAGTGCATCCAACACCAGTTTTATGTTCCTCCTATGGTTTTGTAAGCTTAAAGAAAGAAGAAGAATACATGGCATGATAGTTTTAAAGAATCACTAGATATTTATCCTTTTCATGTTCTTTCATGAACTTCGTATTTGTCAGACATGCATGTACTGTGTCTCTGACGTAGAGGGAGAGAGACAAGCACAGAGGAAGTCTTTTGTAGCAATTCTACAAGTATCATGAACCAGCTGCAGGACATAACATTTCTGATAATAATAATAATAACCAGCATGCGAAAAGTACACACACCAACCTTGATAGTCATAAACTGTCAGACTGTGTGCCCTTAAATCTGCAAAATCAATAATCAAAATTTTATAAGAGAAATGCATGTAAATAAATTATTATGTTTTAAATGTACCAAGTTCCGGAGGGATGAAAAGGACCTTGGTTTATGGAACCTGAACGGGAGTACCTATGAACTATCAAACATTCTAACCAGTACTATCCTAGCATAAAGAAGTATTGATACAGGAAAACCCTCCGATTCCCAGGATGCCGTTCTATACTGATGAAATTGTTGTATCATAAATCTATTGTTGTATCATGATAAGAGAGCACCTTCCATTGTAAATAGTGAAACAACCAAATTATAGAAACATATCAAAATTAGAACTTGAAATTGTCTTGATAATATGGAGACATGAGAAATAGTCATAAATTAATATAAGGGTGTAGTTCCATATCATGCTTTGAGTTTAGCTTTTTTTATCTGTTCATCTCCATTCCAACTGCACAACCTGGAATTTACTATATCCAAAACGAGTACTCGTTGATAGACCCTTAACATGTGTGTGTTTGTGTGAAAAGAGAGAAACATGTCTGTTGACAGAAGCTATGAGAAGTGATATTACTTACCCCTGACTATACAGAACTTTCTGACCCACATCTTAATGCTTGATTATTAACTGTGACGGATGACCAGAAGAAAAAACAACTTCAAGCCCTTTTCATTACCTTATACCTTCTATGTTTCTTAAAACCCCCAACCCCAAGTAAAAAAAAACTATGACTTACGTATATTTCAGAATCTGTCCCTTTTCCAAATCAATATTCTGTACATTTCAGGAGACGAGACAAAGCTTGAGTTTGGTGTTAAACTGGATACTTTACGACTATAACTCCATATGAATTTTCTTACAGATTTAGTGCCAGCATTTTGTCTAGTTGCTTTGTAAGTACGTAAAGGAATTAGATTTCCTATCAATTAGAAGTTGACCCATTTAACAGTAGAAGTCAAAGAGTGTCCTTTTTATGGAACACAGAGAGTATAACATTTAAGTTGGCTTAACTGGTATAATGCTTTATTAAGGAGCTAACTCTTAATAGTGAAACAAAAGGAAATCCAATACACTTTTACCTACAAAAAGGTGCACGAGGTTATCCTTGATGTCACTAAAATCTTTTGCTGCCAAAGAACATCCAAAACTAGCAAAAGAGAATTTATTCACAAAACACGACTGAGGCAAGTATACTGAAATACTAGTTCATTGGAAGTTAATCATACAAACATAAAATGATTTGACAAAAACGAGTGGCACCTTAAAAAAATCCCATCAAACAGTAGCAAATCGTAATAATTATTCCTCTATAAATGACTGGTGGTTCCCATTAAAACCATAACATTTAAAATTTATGTAAGAAGCATAAAAATAAAAGATTACACTATCTGATAAAAGGATACAGAACTAATCTTGCAACTCCTATTACAGACATGTACTATGTTGATGAAATTAATGAGCTAACCAATCATCAGCAATACTGGTGCGAGAGCAAGCTCCGCAACCTCTGGGTATGCCTCCAGGGTAAACCAAGAGAGTTTCAGATTTTATGTTAAATTCATCTGTAAGCATGCTACTTCTTTTACATTTCATTCATCTTCTATATGGTATGTACAGTATAGTTAGTAGATAGCTTCTTTCTTCCAGCCCAACCTTTACGTTCTTTCTCCAGCGTTCTGCTGCTTTTTTTCTTAAATTCGGCTAGGTTAGTTAAGATGGAAACCTCCAAACTATTCTTTTATTTAGTGATTGTTATACAGAGTATTGCTGATTAAACTATACGTGTTGCACAATGTTCGCTCCAGGGTAAGTTCATAAAAGCTACAACATCTAAGGTACCTTTTAAAGCTACATTTCAAAAGATTATGTACATTAATGGACAAATATAGTTCTTTGGTCCAAGGTGACAATACTCATGCCGAAATGGTTAAAATGAGAGGAATGGAGGGTTTTATCACTTTTAGCATAGTGGACACGCACGACAGGCTAGCTCAGTGGGTAAAGACTTCCCTAATAATTGTGTCATCATAATCTTCTATTCCAATTCCAAAAATGATTCAACACATACAATTGCATCATCCACAAAAAAGTGATCTGTGGTATAGTGATTTACACCTCAGAACAACAAATACTTTGCTTTATGTCTACGTTTCGAGCAGTAAACTCATTTACTATGGACGGAGAGAGTAAAATTTAGTAACCAGAAAAGATTGCAGATTGGTCTTGTTTCACAAAAAGGTGTGTAGATAACCAACCTTGTATAGTAGTAAAGTACCATCACATATTCGTGTACTCAGATGGTGAAATTGATGATTAAACCATGATGCGAGTTTATACTATCCTTCCCCATAAAGAGATTATAGATGTATTCACCAACAATTTTCTACTAGTTATATACCTGTTAGAAAGCTTGTATGCAGTTACCGAAAAAATCAAAGGGTGACGTAGAATTCACATCAATTTTTAATATTGAAAAGTTCGTTAAACTTGAAGCCAGGCTCTATTTTTGGGATTGAATCATTGAACGGAGTGTTTATTTTAGCTCTTGTTCAAATATAATTTCGATTCATTCTTCTCCTCAAATTCTACTGAACGATTCCTTCATCAGCAAACAGAATTATACGATCAGAGAGTACGGAACCAAATCAAAACACGTATTTCAAAACTACATCAAACCTAGAGATCATAGACTGCACTCCTAATTATCTAAGCATCTATGTGTAATCAAATACTAAAAGTTGGGGAACTAACTTACCGTGAGTTATACTGGTGTATGAACTGGATTTACAATAACCGCAAGATCTCCTCCCTCGACCAACGTCGAAGACAACACTCTCGCCTCTACCATTGTTGCTGTTGCTTCTACTACTACTAGCTTCACTTCGAATCATCTTCTCATCCGCCATAGACAGGATCTTTCATTTAACCTTCACTTGATCATATAGGTCGACATCCTCAGGGATGACCGGAAAGAAAACTTCGATTGTTTTGAGCCCTTTTAGTTTCATTAATGACAAATAGGTCCCTTAAATGCTTGTCATTTTCATAATGTAAAGAATGTTAGAGCCAGACGCCCTTCACAATGTCAAGGGACGTCGAGTTTTTATATCTTGCTAGTGTTTGATACCATGCAATAATATTTTTTTTTTAATTATTAAAGTTAGTTAAATGAGTTGATGATTATATTTATATATTAAATTAATAAAAATCAATATTATCTTTGATATATAAATCCACCCTATCATTACTGGTTGTTCTTTTAATATATATCTATACATATAATAAATAAGTGTATTGGGTGACACGTGTCATCTTCTGATGAGTCAGTTATCTTGTTTTTCCGCCTAAACATGTATCTAGACACAATTTACATTAGTGGTTCAAATAGGCCTATTTCATTGACATATATCCCTTTATTCAATCAATCCCATCAAATTAGGATGCCATTCTTTTATTTCGTATTTTAACTAATACCCGTACGATACGGGATTTACTTTGTTACCAGGGTAAAATAAGTAATTATGATAAGGTAAACAAAGAGCCTGGACTATGAAGTATTTTTTCCAGAGTTAGAGATCACTCTGAATTCTTCTTCAGACTTAGAGGCATGGACTGGTCCCTTCTTTTCCAGACTTAGAGACAAACTTTGGTTCCTTATTTTCCAGACTTATAAGTCTGTAGACTTCAAACTTTTCGTTCAGACTTATATGAATAAAGTTTGAACCCTTTTTTGTTCAGACTTAGAGACAAACTCTGGTTCATTCTTTTCCAGACTTAGAAGTCTGAACTCTGAACCCTTTTTGTTCAGACTTTGAGGCATAAACTATGATTCCTTCTTTTCCAGACATAGAAGTCTGAACTCTGAAGTCTTTTTTTTCAGAGTTACAAAATAACTAATTATGAAAAGGGTAAACAAAGAGCCTGAACTTTGAAGTATTTTTTCTAGAGTTAGAGATCACTCTAGAGTCTTCTTCAGACTTAGAGGCATAGACTTTGGTTCGTCCTTTTTCAAACTTAGAAGTATAAGTAATTATGATAAGGTAAACAAAGAGCCGGGATCATGAAGTGTTTTTTCCAGAGTTAGAGATCACTCTAAAGTCTTCTTCAGACTTAGAGGCATAGACTGATACCTTCTTTTCCAGACTTAGAGACAGACTCTGGTTTCTTATTTTTCAGTCAGAAAACTTCAGACTTAGAATTCTGTAGACTTCAAAATTTTTGTACATACTTATATGCGTAAAGTCTGGTTCATTATTTTCCAGATTTAGAGGTCTGAACTATGAAGCCTTTTTGTTCAGACTTAGTCATTTAACTTCGAACTCCTATTCAGACTTCTAAGTCTGAATGAAGAAATGCCAATTAAGAAGTTTGAACTGTGAAGTTTGTACTATGTGAAGTATTCTTCAGAGTTATTTCCCAGACTTAGACGACAACTCTGAACTCTTGTGCTTCAGAGTTATTTTTCAGACTTAGAACACAACTTTGAACTCTTGTGCTTCAGAGTTATTTTCCAGATTATATAACAACTCAAAGTTACACTTCAAAGTTATTTCCCATACTTAGAAATCTGACCTTTGAAGTCTTTTGTTTTAGACTTAGAAAAATAAGTATGGAGTCTTCTTTTTCAGATTTAGAAGTCTGAACTCTGATGTCTTCTACAATTTTGAAGAGTACAATTCTGAAGAATCATTTTTCAGAGTTAGCTCACTCGAATTCTTAAGTCTTCTTTTTCAGACTTAGCTCACCCGAACTCTGAAGTCTGAACTCTGAAGTCTTTTTTTTTTCAGACTTAGAAGTCTGAACTCTGATTTAGTGGGATTGATTTTATACTTCACAGTTATTTCAAGAATATAAGTCTGAAGAGTCATTCTTCAGAGTTTTACTTCAAAGTTATTTCCAAAGTACAAGTCTGAAGAGTTATTCTTCAGAGTTAGCTCACCTGAACTATGAAGTCTTATTTTCTAGGAGGAGCACCATATAGAGCCTTTGCATAGTGCATGTAGAGCCTCTGCATAGTGTATGCAGAGCATTTGGCTTGCCTATAAAGAGCTCTGAAATCTGAAGAGTTTTACTTCAGAGTTATTTAAAGAGTACAAGTCTGAAGAGTTATTCTAAATTTACTGATATAGTTTCATTTATAAATTTAATTTTATTCTAAGGTTAACTTCATTTTAACTAAGTATAGATATAGTTTCATTTCTAAATTCAAGTCTAAAGAGTCATTTTTCAGAGTTATTCTTCAGAGTTATACTTCAGAGTTATTTCAATAGTACAAGTCTGAAGTAGCATCGTATTTTCGATGAGCATTCATATTTGTAAGATAAGTTCCTGGCATGATTTAATTTTTTTAAATTACCCCGTGTAATACACGGGATCGAACCTAGTATATATATATATATATATATATATATATATATATATAWAATAAGTCTTATATATCAATCTTTTATTATATCAAACTTCGTAATTGGTTCAAAATCATAAAAAAAAATATGTGAAAAATTGAATATAATCATATGAAGTGTATTATGAGAATTGTTTCGTCATAGTGTGTGATAACTGGGTTTTTCGGTTATAAAGTTCAGGTTATTTTTGAAAAAAAGGTGGAAAGTAGATGGGTTTAATGTGTTTATATGTTTAAATCAATTTAAAAAGCAATCCCACCACCATCTGTTAATTTCTTTTAATATGAGATAATTCCATCATCTCATTGGAATGGTATTTATAAAGAAGAAAAAGGTAATTAAGTTTTTATGTGTGGGTGTTCTTTGTGCGAGGGAAAACAGAATTGGAAAGGGGGAAGCTAGTAGGGAGTTGATTCTGTGATTTTTATTTGAAGTTGTGCTGTGATTAAGTCAACCTTGTATCATCTTCATCTACGTAAACACATAATATGAGTTCAAATTCTTACCATCTTTACTTAATTGGAAACTGGGTGTAGAATCGTATGGTTCTTTATATGAGTTGCCAATTATAAAACTGTTTTCGATGTGATAATTAGCAATTGTGGGTTTTTGTTATGATTATATCATTGTGGGAATAAGAGTGACATATCAAGGAGAAGTGTATTTTGGTTATAAGGATGACATATCAAGGAGAAGTATATATCAGTATAAAGGTGGCAAAATCATGAGTTACAAAATCTAGGTTTTGATCAACATTCATAATTATCGCATCCTTATGATGCGATGACTTAAGGTTGTCGCATATGTGTGATGTGATGGCTTCAAGTTGTCGCATCTTATTAATGCGATGAAGTGTGGTTATTGCACCAATATGATGCGAGGAATGAGTTTTGTTGCATCCTTGTGATGCGACAAGTTGACTTGTCTCACCCATATGATGCAACAAGTTGGGTTTATCGCGTGTGATGCGATGAGTTGATGTTCTTGCACCCATGTGTTGCGAGGAGATGGGTTGTCTCATCATGTGATTCGAGAAAATTATACGTTTTTCTATGTAATGCGATATGTTTACTAGAACGTGTTTATAAAGTAATTTGATTATTTTAATGCGAAAATGAGGTTTGTTATATCAAATAAATGTATATTCGTTATTTTACAAATATGAAGTTAAAAAATGTGATTTGGTGATTATTCACCCTGTAATTGCATCAAAGTGGTTTCTCACTAGACCTCAAGATCTAATCCTCATTTTATGTTTTTTTAAAATGTGCATTACAAGCCGGGCACAGCTAAAGGACAAAGGAAATGGAAAATCGTGAAGTGTTATATTATGCTTGCATGGATTATTGGACTAACATAATCTTCTTTTGTATCTGAATACTTGATATGTATTCATATGTTGTACGAAGATTTTTATGTTAAAAGTTGTTAGCTATTTTGTAATATAGCTTTTGTAGAGAGATTGAGACCGAATGTGTCAATTATATTTTTTGAGAGCTAAAACAAAATACATTCAACTTCAATAGATTCTCTATTTTGGAGATTACAACATTGATCATATTATTAAAATATTAATTTTATCTAATAAAATATTTTTTTTTTCCTCTAAATATTTATTTTCAAAATTTTCAATTGGTGGAAATATATTGAATAATATTTCTCTCTCATTGTAATAATTTTTGGGATGTTCTCTAAATTTAGAGAAATGTTTTGAAGAACCTGATGAAGCAAAAAACATCCTCAAAATCCCCAAAATATATTTTTCCTTCATTTTGAATATTTGTTAGAGATACTCTATTGGGAGTGATATATGCATTCCCTTTTAGGAATTGTAAAAAATATGTATCGACTTTAAAATGCATCAGATAAAAATTAGGAGGTAAAGGTGCATTTTGCAGACACATAATGGAAATTTTGTAATTGGAATAAAAATGGTCAAAGATATTAAATAGTTTAACAATTTATCTATACTCACTGTTTATTTTAAATTTTACTAGAAGGGTGCTCGAATAATGTATCAAGACACATCTCAATTATATGGTTTTAAGAAAACGATAATTTTTTATTTTTTAATGAAATATAAATTCTAAATATTCATAAAAAAATTAAAGAGTATATGATATTAGTATCAAATTAACTATTTAAAAGTTCTTGTTTTGTGTAATTTCTTTAAATCAAAATTTTTATTATAATTTAATTTTACGTAACGAAGTAATTTAATTCAAATTTTTATTTTATGTACGAAGTATTCTGTTAGAACTCAATAATTATCCTAATTTTATATTAGATTTTTTATATTTAAAAATAAGATGTTTATCATGTATTTAATTATGTTTATCTATAGTTAGTTATACGAATTTAAACATAGAGCTTTAATAAGTTAACTTATACATAATTTACTTGTAATCTTGAATTTTAAGTAATATACATCAATAAACAGTATTTTATACATAAAAAATGGTTTTTAATAGTTTTTATCAAATACTTTATAATATAACTAG